CGCGGGGGTCGTACTCGTTTGGGAAAAATTTTTTGATTGCTGGTTTCTCTTGTTTCGCGGATGCTGTGAGCGGGGTGGGTCGTATTTCTCGCTGTTGGGAGTGGGGGGGGGGTCGTATGTCGCAACGTGGATCTCCTGATCGGCAGTCGTCGGACATGCTGGGTCAGTCACATGGATCTGGCCATGGCGATGCTTATCTCTGCATGGGACTTATGACGGTGCAGTTCGGCTTGGTGGGGCATTATGCTGCTCCTTACCAACCACTGCCCATTACAGTGAACACCTGTAAATTTCTGTAAAACTGTGCCACAGCACAAGCTTTGTTGACACTTGACGATAGTCTAAAAGTTTCATCACGATGTAACTTGTAATTTAGCAAGAACTAGCAGAAAGAACTACGAAAGTGCAAAATGCCCCTCCCAAGCTGAACAGCGTTCACAGGGCAAAATGCCCCTTCCAAGCCGAACGTTCCCATGCCTGCTACCACTGGGGAACAGTAGTTTCCAGAGCTAAGTATGACTTTGCCATGAGAAAAAAGTTGTCCTCGTCAAGTGACACTTCGAGTTAGCCCAACGCGTCCAATGCTTGTCTCTGATTGGTTGATTGTCCATGGCGACCAATAACAGGCGCTTCTCGCACAGCTATTACTTACTAATGAATTTCCTATGAAATCTGATTTCCTTGCTGTTTTAGCTCACTCCGCAAAAGAATTCCGACGGCAGTACACAGTACTAGAAGAAATCGGTCGTGGCGGTTTCGGTATCGTCTATCGAGCTACCCGAAACGTTGATGGCCTTCCAGTTGCTGTCAAGTTTGTCGAGCATAAACATGTTCGCGAATGGACCTTGGTAATTATTTATTTTTATTCAATTTTTGTTGATTTATTGATTATTGTCGAAATGGTGAATTGCAGACGGGCAATCAACTGATACCCTCGGAAGTATGTCACCTAGAAACGTGTAGCGATGTTCCGGGTGTCATAAAGCTGATCGATTGGTTTGCTAAGTGAGTTTTATTATCAAATTGTACTTGAAATTCACTCGAGACGCAGTTGGCTTGGAGGTGGGAGGGCATTTTGCGCTTTCGCTTCTTCTAATCGTCGCACTGAGCCATCAAGTAGAGTCTTGTGAAATTTTGTGAAGCCACGAAGTGATACCAGCCAGAGAGAGTATTTTCATAAAGAGTATTTGTCAGCGCTTGTCAAAATACCTGTTAGCTCTTGTAAGGCCATGAATACGATGACGGTAAGTACCAAAAGTGCAAAATGCCCCTCCCAAGCCAAGCTGCGCCTTTAATCGATATGAAGGTGAACATAAACTTTTAGCTCAAAAGGCTTTCTGATAGTTATGGAGCGGCCAGAACACTGCATGGATATCTTCGACCTGATCTCTACTTATGGTAAACTTGACGAAGGTGAACTATTTCGTTTGTTCGTACTCACTTACAAAAATATTTTTGACCAGTTATCAGATTATGAATCATTTATTTATCAGACTAATCGATTATTGAGCTACCCGCAAGTTTTTCTATACAATTTTGATATCCTATGCTCCACTCTTCTTTAAAGTCAAATGTCAAATTCTTTGCTGGGTGCATAGGAGGGGCAGAGGACCGCGAGGCAGCATGTTTTTTTTTGCCTTCGCCCAGCTGTTTATCGCGGAACGTGCCTTCGGGTTGCTGCGATGCGTCGGGTATGTTAAGGTGCACAACTAGAAGCTTACAAACTGTTGGCAGCTCTCCTCCCCCCTCCCCCCCCCCCCCCCCCTTCTTGAGCTTTATCTCTTCGTCATATCTCACCTTCTACCCAAGGGGTGTCGACCAGTCGAAAAGCGCCCACGCTTACTTTGATCATGGTGAGGCCTATCCTGACTGAACTGACGGCGAACTGCCTAACAATGGTTTCTTACAAACAGGGCACGCCATCGCGTTGTGATCATTTCCTGAAAAAATACGACCCCCCTAATTCCATCCTTCAATACGACCCCCCTCCCCATGCTACCTACCACTTTCCTAGATTTTCCCAACTTCCTACCACTTTTTCCATTTTTCCCGAAAAATTTCCAGTTTTTCAGCCAAGAATTTTCCGTCGAGCGGGAGGGGGGAGGTCGTCAGGATTTAACTATCATTTTCAACTATCGGAAATAGTAGTTGTATAGATCTTTGGCAGTCCCTCTCCCAACAACGACCAAATACGACCCCTCCCCCCGTTGTGATCATCACAACGATGGCGTGCCCTGCTTACACAAGGCGATTATCTTCTTTCTGTGCTTTTACTCACCAGTCTCGGTTGTTTCCTCAACTTCCATGGTTAGTTGCAGGAAGCACTTTAGGTGAGCCGCAAATCATTCTCCATGATTAAGCTGCTCCTAGGCGAAGAGTGGAGGTCCACCGGAAATAGTCTTGTTCTAAAGCATCGGGTTCAGCAGTGGAGGAAGCCTCTGGCAGCTTCTAGACGTTTAGCCATAGTCTCCTTGGGAGGGAATATGTGCCAGGTGGATTAATTAGGATTTTAATCCTCATTGATCCAGTTGGTAAATTGCCAAGAAGAGCACTCTCGTTTGTAGAAACGGATATTCAGTGAGAAAATGTCTTTAGAAGAGAAATTACGGTATTCGGGCGCGTTTACTTACATAAAGGGCTGACATAAGATCCGGCTGCAATGTATAGATTGCTTGTCGCCATATTTCACGCTGCTCATATAGGCGGGCAAGGAAAATGTTGCGTTTTCCTCATGGTGCGCCCTTCCTTTTAAGGCACTCAGGAGAAAAGACTGAGGCTAAGGCGCTACTAAGGAGGACACGGCGGTGTCTTGTCTGCGATCCTGCAATCAGCTTTAACTGTATATGAACTGAAAGCATCCTGGAAAGTGAAAATTAGAAAGAAACTTAACCTCATCTTGGATTTGTAAAGGCTAAGTATTCGAAGGGGGCATTGTTCGGCCCAGGGGGCTGGGGGAGGGGAGGGGAATTCTGCACTTCGCTACTTTCTTTCACTAGCTCATCTTATAGTCAGACTACAACATTCATGTTGACCTGTAGACGTGCGTAAACGAGACTTTACAGGTCTAACAGGCGTCCACAGGCATCAGCGGTGAAAGATAACAAGCAAAGCCCCTCTAAGCCGAACTGCGCCAAAATATGTTCTGTCGTTGATTCTATACATGAAAGGATAATCTTTTGATATTTAATCATAAATATGGCAATTCCACTAGGAAGATGGTAGGGCTCGTATAAAAATATTATAATGATAACTAAAGCATCCACAAAATAATGTGATCTAAACGTTAAGTCATCAGATAACGCGTACAGACGTGATTTCGCGCGTACAGACGGATTTCGGTCTATATCCAGGCGTTGGAGGGGGCGGGTCTACGGACTTGCTTACAGAGGAGCGGCTGCGATAGTAAGTTAATGGCGGTTCAGGCGAGATGAGTGAGAGGTGCATTGACGCTTTCTTGTACCCCCCACGCTCTTGTAATGAATCTACTGTCTACTTCTCCTCTAACCGGCAACTGTTCACCGTCACCACAGCAGAGTCGTAAACACTCCCCCTCCGACGCCAAATTCAGAAACCGTAGGTGTACCGTACTAAAATAGTCATGTTTAGATTCGGCACGAGGTATTTTCATCCAAGTAGTGGATGCTGTATGTGCAATGTACGTGAAGCACGGTCTAATTCATCGTGATATCAAGGTAAACTGCTGATTTTCTAAACATTTTGATTTATCCGCGCACTTAGAAAAACATCTTAGGAAATGTAGTGCACGCACACCTTGGGGATTTAGGCAGCGTTCCCAGTAGGCGCACTTTGAATCGACCAACCCGCAATTATGCGATCCAGCGACCAGCGGATGGAGGGCACAGAACCGCCACTGAAAGTGACCCCAATAGCGAACACGCCCCGCAGCAAATTATTGCGTATCGCCACGAGCGCTCATCTTCCGAACTTCAAAATCGATAAGTATCTTATCCTGATCGCGAAGGCAGCGTTCAGACTTCGCGAGACGCCTGCTGATGCCCGCTACCATTGCATTAGCGCTCCGATGCCGGTGGACGGGACCACGATCCATAAAACGAGTATCAATCGACGGCTGACCGCCTATAGTTTTGAGCAGGGTTTGGATAATATGCCTAACCGCCGACTCGTGCGACCCTCCTAATCTTTCTGCTACCCTCTCCGGGCTGCGTCCCAGGCCACAGCACTGGAGCGGATCATCACAGCTAGCGTATAGACAGCGCTCAGACTTCGCGACTGGCCAGCCGTTTCGGTCTTGCGCTTCGACGAATCGACAGTTAGGCCATGTTCATAGTTCGCGGAAGCGTTCACTAGCGACCACAGGCATTTCGAGCATCTCAGAGCGTCAGCGACTAGGAAAGTATAGATATCGATCTAGCGCGAATGGCAGTGTCTATCAGCGTCCACCAGTGTCCACCAGTGACCAGGAGTACGGTATGCAGTATACGGAAGCGCTTAGCACACTCCCGCCAATCACTCCTCCCTCCTACTTCCCCATACGCTCTAACTAATCCTGGACCCTGCCGCAAAGCGTGAATGCAGCCTCAAAAGCATGCGCATCGATCGCATCGAAGCGCGACCGAAGCGCCGCCGTTACGAAGTCTGAACGCTGCCTTATCATGTCGACGCGCGTCACCGAACGCTGTCGAACTATAAGGAGTACGTGAACTCTGTCTTATAGTTAAGGGCCCAATAAGCGAGGCAGCAAGCGCAGTAGGCAGATTTTTCCATCGCTTTTCCCACTCAGTATTAAGTTTTGCTTGGTATTGAATTCTATCCGTTATCATATTATTATTATTATTATTATTATATGATATCGGCGAGGTGAAACTCTTGTTGTGATTTTGGAGCGTTATCTATTTTTCTTCTTGCCTTGTATTATATATGTCTGATGAAGATAGTAATTTTTCTGATAATTTTTGTTGTGGTTTTGGTGTTGTTTGGTTTTGGTGCTCTAACAACTCCTGAGAATGAAAGCCGTTGAGCAGCGTGTCACGACTTCGCAAAATGGCAGCGCTTGGATTCAAGCGCTTCGACCGACGAATCCATACCAGTAGAGAGCCGAAGCGCTGCCGTCGCGAAGTCTGAATGCTGCCTGAGATTTATTTTCTTATTTTCTCACCAGTTCGGATAATTCACATGATATCGCGCTTCATGTCCGCCGGAGAACGCCGCTCATGAAACAACCTGAACTTGTCGACCCAAGTAGGGGAGCCGGGCTTACCCGGGTCTTTCCCGTCGTCGGTGTCTGCGAGACAGACTGAGCTTGTAATCCAGTATGGGAAACCCCATTGTAGCGAAGTTGGTTTATCTATGTTTGTAGTGCAAATTGGCCTCTGTATTCGGTAGACTTCCACTCACCCGAAGACATTTAGGGTCCTTGCGAGCGAATACAGGATAAGTTACGCCACTAATGCCGCCTTGCCGCAACTCCGCGATCTCCGAGCGCACCGACCATGTTCACTTGTTAGAATACTTTTGAATTATTTTCGTGTTCAGCCCCTCTTTTCGCTGCAAAACAGCACCATGGGGTATTTCTGCCCTGGCATACTTTTGTTTGATGCCCGAAGATTCAAAACGATTGATCTCTCCCATATAGTTCGATAAAGCAGATTGGTTGAATGAAGGCATTTATTGGGCTTTAGCTATAATTTCTCGAAACTGCCATTCTCTCACACTTCGTTTCTGCATTCTGTTTCTGGGCGGAAGGGTGGGCGATGCGACCCCAGAAGCAACTGACAGTCGTTGGTGGGAAGCGTATTGATTGATTGGAACATCCTCTTTATATCTCTTCTTTCTTCCCGTTTGTGGGGGTGGGTTGGGTTCGTATGTTGTCGTTGTTCTTCATGATAGGTGCTGGGTTTGTTACGTTCTGTGTTGTTTTTTCTTTGTTGCTGTGGTGTTCTGAGCTTAGTGATTGTTTGCAATTTAACTTCTCTCGATAGAGCCGCCGACTGTCACTACACCCCTTTTTGTACGATCGACTTGGTTGTGCTTGGCGGTGGGTGGAGGGCGCAGGTGGTAGATGAGTGTGGGGTGGGTGGTTTGTGGTTGTGGGGTGGGGGGGAGGCTGGTGATGGGTAGGTGGTGGGGGGGGGTGTGTGGGGGTGTCCTGGATTCCCGATTACCTGTATGGTGGGTGTGGGGGTTGGGGCAGAGGGACCGCCCGGAAGAGGAAAACGGCGGAAGTTCGGCATTGGATTGGGCGCATTTGCTGGCGCCTCTCATGACACTGTTGATGCCCTTTTTGGAACCTGTAAATTCCTGTAAAGCTTTTGCCAATCGCGGCGAGGCCTCTTCCTTACCTTGACAAGAGTTTAACAGGTTTTTTCCGACCGATTTTGAGAACTTTTAGGGAAAAAAAAAACAAGGGAACGACTCCTTAAAATAAAATAGCGAAGGAGACCCCAAGGATACCCCCTTCCCCTTAAGGCGAGCTAGCGCCGAGGCAAAGTGTTTTGTAGATTTTCAAGACCAGATTCATCAAAATCCCATGGGTTTTTCTTGCTTTTAATAACATAAGGTTTTTCCAAAGGACAGAAGGTTTCCT